CTTTGATTTAAAAGAACAAACTCTTTCTGTCTGTCACTGTCACTGGTCATTATTAAGATTAATCTTTCAACTCTTGGTTAATACAGTTCAAAAGGTTAAAAAGGTCAAATTATAACAACACTAAGTCTTGGACTAACTGAATCATCTACAAACCACACCAGGAGTCCGAAGTCCATTTTCAAACTTTATTTAGTGTGTTATATCGCGAGGCATCTTCAGGCCTTTCGGGCAACAATTATTTACATCAGAGGTTCTTAAACACGTACAAAAATACAAATTTAGGAAAAACAAACTCAGCAGAACGACTGTACACTGTACAAACATCAACACAACTGGATACAGAGAGAAGCAGCTTCGTCCAACAGCACTTCTAACTGCTGCTTTAAAACACTGAGCATGTACAGGTGAGTCCAGGTGAGACACAAGCTGCCGTCTTCTTAGTGTTTCTATTGTTTTAAATAAAAAGAACTGAACTCTTCTACCCCCCGACTGAACTTCAGGTTCTGTTTATTCTCCCAAAGATTCCTTATTTCATTTTAAAAATCAAGCCAAACACGAGCCGAGTGTCGACGACGTCCTGCCAGGAAACTCAAACCACTTTAATCTTTCAAATCCTCCAAATGTAAAAACGCAGCGTCGTGTTGTCGGCCGTCCACATGCACAGCTGTGAGTGTCGGGGTCACATGTCAGGAAAAACAACATTTTGAGGGAGAAAAAGCCATGATTTCGTCAAATGCGAAGACTTTTTTCACAAATTTTTTGACATCCAGCTATGGTTTGCACGCGGTGACAGTCTACGGGTAAAAGAAAGATGATTTTGTTGAGACGCTTACGGACTGATTTTACTCTTGAAATACTGTGACCGCCTGAAAAACTGTGCGATTACGGTCTTGTAGTGTTTCAGACTTTGTTCTTGAAATTGGCGCCTGTGACGCACTAAAAAACAGCATGTTAATAAAAGGTAGCTTATGACTGACAACACGGGACTCAAATTTCTTCTGGTGACAATCAATCTTCCTACGGGAACGGCTGGACGCCGCCGCCTTCAGACGGAGCGTCGACTGAAAGCTGAGAGGACGGAGCTGAAGAGTTTCCGTTCAGAGAAATGACCAAGTAAATAAAACCTGGGAGTGCTGTGTCAGGAATAGTGTCGTAATACTTAAGTAAAAAAGCAGGAAATAGACAAATAAAACAACAAGCGTCCAGCTCACGTCGTCGGTTGGCCGTCTGAAAGAAACAACCAATCCTGGAGCTCGCTGGTGTTTTTATTTTCTTTAAATAAATAAAAGGCTTTCTGAACATAATCTCTGATCGTCTGTAAACATGGAGGAAAGGCAACAGCAGGGCTTCTGATTGGCCCTCGGGTGTCATGTGTTTCTGTTTCGAAGGAAATGATTTGACACAAACTCAAATGTGGAAAACTTCTCAGGAAAGAGGCAGAACTCAAACAGCCAATCAGAGAGCTGCCTGCAGATGACCAATGAGGTCAGCTGCGACGTCATCAGAGTCACGTGCTCGGTGACGTCAGCTGATTCGCAGCCCGCTGTGACATCATCAGTCAGCTGGGTGGGTTTCCTCTCAGCCCCAGGGGAACCAGCCTCGGCATCGGCCTCCAGGCCACTCCTCCCCCTCTCTTCGCCCCTCTCCCTATTCCTTCTCCTTCCCCTCCTGCTGCTCCATCACTGCTGGCGGGAACCGTCACCTTGGCCCCGCCCACCTTCATCTGCAGCAGAGGGGGCGGAGCCAGTGCGCCACCTTTACCATTGGCAGGTCCAGGCTGGGGTTCGCTCTGTGTCATCTCCGTGGAAAGAGCGTCATCAGAGTCCGAGTCCAGTTGCAGGAGCCAGGGGCTGTGGGGGGCGTGTCCCTGCTCCTCCGCTCCGCTCACCGCGGCAGCTTCCTCCAATTGCCCCGCCTCAGAGGATGGTTTCAGCGTGGCGACAGTCTGCTGGTTAAGGAAGACGATCTCGTTGAGGAGGGAGGTCAGACTCTCGTGGTCAGCGTCCTGTCTGGTCTCCGCCCTCAGAGGCCCCCCGCTGTGACCCGACGACCAATGCTCGGATCTGGGCACGGCGAGGACGACGAGCCGTGAGTAGAGGGTGGAGACGAGGAGGAGGGGGGGGACTCCAGCTTGGTGCCAGCCTGGGACGGAGGCTGGTGCTGGTCTTTGATCTGGTCTGAGACAAGATCAGATCCAGAGACCACCGGAGCAGGAGTCTGACCTGCTAGGACCTCCTGCTGCTGCTGCAGCTGGGGAGGAGGGGGTGGTTGTTGTAGTTGTTGTTGTGGTTGCTGTTGTTGTTTTGGTTGTGTTTGTTGTTGTGGAGTCGATGGTTGAACCGGCAGCAGACTGTTGAGGTTTGAGGCTGTAAACGATAAAAAAAAATCAGCTGATGTAAAATATTTTAATCATGAGATCAGAAAACAAGTTAATGAGTTAGTCAGCCAATATTTGGTCAGTAAGTCAGTTAGTTGGTGAGTCCGTCAGTTAGTTAGTTAGTCCGCTAGTTAGTTGGTGAGTTAGTCCGCTAGTTAGTTGGTGAGTTAGTCCGCTAGTTAGTTGGTGAGTTAGTCCGCTAGTTAGTTGGTGAGTTAGTCCGCTAGTTAGTTGGTGAGTTAGTCCGCTAGTTAGTTGGTGAGTTAGTCCACTAGTTAGTTGGTGAGTTAGTCCGCTAGTTAGTTGGTGAGTTAGTCCGCTAGTTAGTTGGTGAGTCAGTTAATTGGTAAGTTAGTCCACTAGTTAGTTGGTGAGTTAGCGAGTTAGCTGGTGAGTCAGTCAGTGGGTGAGGTAGCGAGTTAGTTGGTGAGTTAGTCCGCTAGTTAGTTGGTAAGTTAGTCCGCTAGTTAGTTGGTAAGTTAGTCAGTTATTTGGTGAGTCAGACAGTTAGTTGGTAAGTCAGACAGTTAGTTGGTGAGTAAGTCAGCTGGTCAGTTGGTGAGTTAGTTGGTGAGTTAGTCAGTTAGTTGGTAAGTCAGTCAGTTAGTTGGTGAGTCAGTCAGCTGGTCAGTTGGTGAGTTAGTGAGTTAGTTGGTGAGTTAGTGAGCAAGTTTGCGATGGGTCTGTTAGTGGGTCATTCAGTCGTCAAGTAATTCAGTTAAATGATCAGTTAGTTGAGCTCAAACTTAGTTAGCTATTGTGTCCGTAAGTTAAGTTAGACAATCCGTTAAGATTAGTAAGTTCATTGGCTAGACAGCTTCATTAGGCATAAAGTTGGTTAGTTAGTTCAGGACTTCATTGGTTTAGAAATGTGAGGTTATAGTGTATCGTTTGTCGGGTAGTTAATTAGTTTAGTTACAAGGGAGATTGGTCAGTTAGTTCAGTTAACTGTGAGAATGTTTAGTTAATTCGTTAAGTAACATCTGATGTTAGTGTTTAGCTATTAGGTTAATTCAGTTACTGTGACATTGGTTTCGTTGGTTAGCAAGGGTCAAACTACATCCCAAGGACGGGCACAAAGTACAACTCCTCTAATGATAAATAGCTTATTAAAATAAATCCCAAAATTCTATAAAGAGGAGCCAGCTTTTTTTCATTTGGTTGGTTGGTTGGTTAGTTTATTTACCTGTGAGGTGAGTTTTGTTACGCGTGACAATGGTTATGTAGTTGGTTTAGTTACCCGAGAGGTTAGTGACATTGTGGGGGGCGGAGCTACTGCAGTTCTTACCGGTTGGGGGGTGGGGCAGTGAGGTGAGATGGATCTGCTGATTGGTCAGACTGGGGAAGTTGAGGGTGACTGAGGCCAAGCCTACAGACAGGAAGAACATGTTTTACTTCAAAATAAGAGGATGTTGAAGCAGGGTGGAAACAGAGTGACAGTGAGCGGTCAGTACCTGGTGTAGGAGACGTCTGTAGAACCGTCGGCCCAGTCATTATCGGGCTCAGGGTCAGGACCGGCTGCCCTGGCAATGTGGCGCTGACAAGGGATAGAACATCAGCCGGAACCAAAGCCTGAAAAGAAGGCAACTCTAGAAAAACAAAAGAAGACATGAAAGAAATCAACACAAAGACAACAGTAAGGGGTGGTGATGGCGCAATGGATACGATGCCTGCCTTTGGTGTGAGAGACCCGGGTTCAACCCCCTACTGTGACCCATCCACCATTGTGTCCCTGAGCAAGACACTTAACCCCTTGTTGCTCCAGAGGCGTGCGACCTCTAACTATAAGTTGCTTTGGATAAGAACGTCAGCTAAATGAATAAATGTAAGTTGGTTAAGCTTGATTTTTACTCCTACGTGTGTTGCTACGCACGTTTGTACTTGTGCACTGGTGTCTCCATCATTCTGCAGTGACAAACGCTAGCTGGCGTTGGCGCTACAGCGTCCACTGTGTTGACTGTTGCCAGCCGAGCAGGCTAACTTCTGGTTTAGCGCTCCGCTAACGTGAATGGCAGTAAAATTGTGAACGTGCGGCTTGTGTAGCCTTTTCAAATGTTCTCGACCGAATGGATCACAGTGTGATAGTGAAACGAGTCCTTTCGCTCCAGTTGTGATGCTCAAATATATCGATCCTCCGTGTTCCAGCCGCAGGATTGGCCAGTAAAATTTACTCCTAAGCACTTCCTGTCGGCTCAGAGGCATTGCGAGGCTAGCCAGCCGACCAATCACAGAGCTTAAGGCAGAGGCTACGCCGTCGATTCGATGCAGAAGTATAAATTATACATTAGTGGGTCAGTTAGTCAGAGAGTTAATTAGTAAATGTTCTGTATTTGTACAGCGCCTTTCTGGTCTTTGCACCCACTCAAATCGCTGTTACACTCCATCGCATTCACCATTCACACACCAGTGGAACAACCTCCAGGGGCAATTCAAAGTTAGTTAGTTGGTCAGTTAGCGTCAGGTGTTGTCAAGACCTGTTGTCACCAGATCAATAATCAATCACTACATCTCCAGTTCAGTCCTCCTCCAGACTTACCCTCGCTGTGAGTCTTTGTGAGCAGGGGCGACAGCGGAGCTGGATTCTTACTGCGGGACAGGATGTTGGGGATAGTCCTCGGCCTGTCCCTCCCCGCTAATGCATTGGGGGATGCACCGGGAGGAGTCACCTGCAAGACCTTCTGACTGTTGTTCTGAGGCTGCTGGACCGGTGTTTGGACAGGTGTGGCTGAAGGTGTGGTGGTGGGCGGGGCAGAAACAAGAGTGGGAGGAGCTTGTGGAGTTTGCTGCGGCAGGTCGGAGGATATGATTACAATGTCATCATCGATCGTGTCTCCTGCCGGCACGTGATTGGCTGCACGGTGTCTCTCCCGCTTCCCCACCTTCTTCTGTTTGGATGCCGGGTGCTGCAGCGTCCTCATGATCCTCCGCTCACTTTTACCTGCAGACACAAACAGCTCGGGTTAAATCTCACCTGGGTTTTAGCTGACGTGAGACTCCTACAGCTTCATCCTCCTCCTCCTCCTCACCTGATCTTCGGGCGATCTCTCTGATGTAGGCGTTCCTCTGCTGGTTCAGACAGATCTTCAGACTCTTCAGTCTCGCCGCCTCGTTCTGCAGAGTCTGGATCTCCTTGTGAGCCTGAAACACAAAGACAGCTTACCAAACCGGCTCACAGTTAAAGGCCTGAACAATCATTTCAGTAGCCAATAGAAGAGCGAGCCTCCACGCTGCAGCTGAGACAGGAGGGGAGGGGCTCAGTGAGCGGAGAGCAGATTTCACCAGGTGACCGTAACTCCGCCGTTACTGGAAGTAAGTGGAGCTGTTTCCAGTGAGACACTGATTTCATATTGTTACTTTGCTGCTGTAAAACAGAATATTAAATTTGATTACTGTGTGTGTACTGTGAATTTATTCTTCTTTAAATAACATATTTTTAAAAGGCATTTAGTAATGAAAAAACCAATCAGAGTACAGACAGAGATCTGTAGCAGATGTTTGCTTCGGTATATTGGTGCATAAATAAGAATTATATAAGATAAAAGCAAATAAAAAGAAAGTACTAAAACACAACAATGTAAGGTCTATTTAGATTAATGATAATAAACAGTCCCCTTTCATACTGCTATTGTTGTTTATTTTTGTATCAAAGTGCTTCTACCTTACACAAGCCTGCCCATCACGAGCCAGATGTCTCTTTATTTAACGTTTCAACATTACTCAGACTGTAATGACAGAATAACACCGGTACGAAGATTTAAACTGTCTCACAGCTGCAGATCTGTACTCTCACGTTGTTGCCCGCGGGCCGGCTCGTTAGCTTCCCCCGCTGCATTTGCGGAGCTTCTGAACACCGAAAATGTTCAAGCACATTCTCGATTCGCCAACAATTTCCCTAAAACTGCTGATATTTAAAATCTACACAGTTGATTTCTCGCTTCCAAACTTGTTAGAAGTGGATTTAGTGATGAAACAGCATTTGAAAATTGTAAAACAAGTTCTGTTGTTGTTACAGTTCTAGCGCTTTACATTATGGGCCACAGTACGCGAGGTAGACTGGTCCAAGGCATACTGGAGATTTTTCCCGAATCAGTACGCCATCCGAGCATTTTTGCCATACTGCAGATTTTGCTTTTGTTTGCATACTACATATGGGCCAAATCAGTACGTACTAATAGTATAGTAGGCGGTATCAAATACAGCCACTGAGTTATGCTGTGTGCTACAACCAAACAGGAACCTCCAGGTCTGAAAGTGAAGCCTTAAACCTGCGTCCTCTCCAGCAGCCCGCAGGGGGCGACTTAAACCTGCGTCCTCTCTAGCAGCCAGCAGGGGGCGACTTAAACCTGCGTCCTCTCTAACAGCCAGCAGGGGGCGACTTAAACCTGCGTCCTCTCTAGCGGCCAGCAGGGGGCGCCTTAAACCTGCGTCCTCTCTAGCAGCCAGCAGGGGGCGACTTAAACCTGCGTCCTCTCTAACAGCCAGCAGGGGGCGACTTAAACCTGCGTCCTCTCTAGCGGCCAGCAGGGGGCGACTTAAACCTGCGTCCTCTCTAGCAGCCAGCAGGGGGCGACTTAAACCTGCGTCCTCTCTAACAGCCAGCATGGGGCGACTTAAACCTGCGTCCTCTCTAACAGCCAGCAGGGGGCGACTTAAACCTGCGTCCTCTCTAGCAGCCAGCAGGGGGCGACTTAAACCTGCGTCCTCTCTAGCAGCCAGCAGGGGGGGCGACTTAAACCTGCGTCCTCTCTAGCAGCCAGCAGGGGGCGACTTAAACCTGCGTCCTCTCTAGCAGCCAGCAGGGGGCGCCTTAAACCTGCGTCCTCTCTAGCAGCCCGCAGGGGGCGACTTAAACCTGCGTCCTCTCTAGCGGCCAGCAGGGGGCGACTTAAACCTGCGTCCTCTCTAGCAGCCTGCAGGGGGCGACTTAAACCTGCGTCCTCTCTAGCGGCCAGCAGGGGGCGACTTAAACCTGCGTCCTCTCTAACAGCCAGCAGGGGGCGCCTTAAACCTGCGTCCTCTCTAGCAGCCAGCAGGGGGCGACTTAAACCTGCGTCCTCTCTAACAGCCAGCAGGGGGCGACTTAAACCTGCGTCCTCTCTAGCAGCCAGCAGGGGGCGACTTAAACCTGCGTCCTCTCTAACAGCCAGCAGGGGGCGACTTAAACCTGCGTCCTCTCTAGCAGCCAGCAGGGGGCGACTTAAACCTGCGTCCTCTCTAACAGCCAGCAGGGGGCGACTTAAACCTGCGTCCTCTCTAACAGCCAGCAGGGGGCGACTTAAACCTGCGTCCTCTCTAGCGGCCAGCAGGGGGCGACTTAAACCTGCGTCCTCTCTAACGGCCAGCAGGGGGCGACTTAAACCTGCGTCCTCTCTAGCAGCCAGCAGGGGGCGACTTAAACCTGCGTCCTCTCTAGCGGCCAGCAGGGGGCGACTCCTGCAGAAAGAAGTGTGATTGTATAGAAGTCTGTGAGAAAATGTTTCTGCTTCTCTGCTGATTTATTCCCTCAGTAAACACTTTCCTGATGAGTTTCTGGTCTCAGTCGCTAGTTTCAAGTCTTCTTCAACACAGCATGATGTTCATTTAGTAAATTATGGTCCCATTTAGAGGAACAGAGACCAGGAAGCAGGGGAGGCTTTAGGGCGGGGCTACAAGCTGATTTGGCGACCTGTCAATCAGGACAGAGGCAACTCGTATCCGCTGTTCTGTGTACATCTAACTAGTGCCGCTGAAAAGCTTATCAGGAGTCGGCTGCTCATTTTTCAGGAAGTACGTTTTGTTTTAAGCCTGTTTGTCACTAGCTAAAATTAGCATCCCAGCTAACATCCCAGCTAACATCACAGCTAACGTGAATTACAGACGCACCTTGCTACCAAGCTAGCTAGCTCCACCCTCTTGTCCAAATATGGTCACGCCTTGTTTCTAAAAACCAAGATGGCGACGGCCAAAATGGAGGCTTCAAAACGGTTATCCACAGACCGAAGGGAGACCTCACGGCTTCTTTTGTACCGGCTGTGTCGGCAACTTGAGCCCGTTGTTTCCCTTTAGTCAAATCGTCCATGCATGGATGTATTTGCATCCTGTAGCTTCTTACCTGCTTCAGCAGAACTGTCTTTGGATACTTTTTGGTGTTCATGACTGAACTGAGAAGTTTGAAGGCGTCTGTGACGCTCCGAGGAACGACCACCTTCTTCACACCTGGACTGCTTCTGTTCACAGAAAACAGACAACGTGGCAGTTTATCCTCACCTGTGTCCCCTCACCTCACCTGTGTGTCCTCACCTGTGTCCCCTCACCTCACCTGTGTGTCCTCACCTGTGTGTGTCCTCACCTCACCTGTGTCCCCTCACCTGTGTGTCCCCTCACCTGTGTCCCCTCACCTCACCCGTGTGTCCCCTCACCTCACCTGTGTCCCCTCACCTCACCTGTGTCCCCTCACCTCACCTGTGTCTTACTGAACTCCGTCACCCTGATTTGCTCTTTGACTTAAATATTTATGAGCCATGAGACAGTTTCAAACGCTGGCTTTAAAACTTTCTCATTAAAATCATTAAGAGATAAAAATAATGAACTCAAACTTTAATCTCTTCACTTTTCAAATTATAACAGTGAGAAGAGGTCAAAGGTCAGGGCGAGTACTCTTATCAACACTTAGTTATTACATTCAGAACAGGATCAGTATTAATGTATATTTTCTGAAATAACAAAATGTTTGCACAGCAGCAGGAAAACCTCAAAATAAAATAAATTATCGAGGCGTTTTAATGAGGCTGATCAGCTACAAACTGCTGTCTGTCTGATCAGGTGTTTCTATAAGTGACTGTTACTCTGAATTGAATGATTAGCTGGGGGGCTTCAGCAGACTGGATAAAAGGTAAGGCCCCGACAGCATCGGTTTAACTTTTGATTTGATCACATTGATGTTTAAGTTCAGATTTACAGGAAATATTTTATAGCTGCTGTGTAAAGGGAAAAATCTGTTTAAAGCAAACCATATGTTACTGCACTTTAGTGTATACAGCAGTACACTTAAATTAAAAGTGCCAAAGCACTACTTTAGGATTCATCATTCCATTTTGGGCATAACCATGAGATTAATTGCCATTAAAGATTTTAATCGTTGCCCGGCACCAGTTTAGATGCATCTATATTTTGTGCAATTAAACTGTCGATTAACTGCAACAAACAGCAAAACAAAAATGTACAAAAGCAGGATAAATGTGACGGCAGCTGGAAACTGGATAAAGAAAAAAGGGACATGTTAAAATGTGAAGTGAAATTGAAAGTGAAGTTGCACTTCAGTGCGAGACGGTGACGTTCAAATACAAGTTCCAACAGAGAGATGGTACCGATGTGAGCTAAGTGAAGATCAAACGGTATCTGTGTTTATAACAGCAGATAAATGAAAGGAACAAGGAGACAGATCCTTTTAATCACGTTCTGAGTGTTATCCATGTGTAGTTTGGCCACCAGAGGGCGCTCTGCAGCACAAATCCACCACAAAGCTGACATGATCAGCTGCAACGTTTATTTTTTAACTGAATGACGTCGTGTTAACACACGTTAGAGATACTCTTTGTTTACGATTTGTGTTTCTGACAAAAAAAAAAAAAAAAGGAGATTATCGGATTTTAAAATCCTCAAATATCAAATCGGTATCTGTTCAAAAACATCCCTCTTCGTTTTTTAGGTACGATGAACTGAACATAACGAACAAACAAAATAAAACGGATTTTCAGGCAGCGCCACAGACACAACCATTTCAGTGATGTCATGATGACCTCAGGCTGATCAGACAGGAAGTGAATCAGGTCTTACTCTGGGATGCTTGGCTGCGTCCTCTGAGCCGCCTTCAGCTGACCGCTCTCCTCCTCCACCGTCTCCACGTCAACGCTCAGAACCTCGTCAAGAGCCGCCTGGCACAAATACAAGAGACGCCATGATGACACGTTGGTCTGTGTCCAATCACAGCTCGCTCTTAACATCACATTCATATTTACACACAATCAAAACCTTTTTTATTTATTATTATCACTTTTCTCTCATAACATCAAAAAATATTTTTACAATGAAATAAAAATAAACTCCTCGGTTCTAAAATTAAATAGGGAAGAAAAAGTTGAGTTTCTATAATTTCTTAAATTATTGTTTCATTTATATTCTGAATATTTATGTGTTTTTGAAAAGGATCTTTTCGTACGTCAGTGACGGGGAGGACGCCGGTTGTCTTGGTGACGACTCGCTCCTCGTCAGACGAGTTGTCCGTCACCTCGTCCGTCTCGTCCAACAGATCGACCACCTCTATCAAATTTGCATCTGTACTTCCTGTCCCGCCTCTCTCTGGCAGCTCGGCGACACGCTCAGGTGATCGCCGGTGTCCGCGGCTCACCTGCCCGCCTCGCTCTGAACAAACACAAACAAAAACATGGCAGAGCTGAATCTTGTTTAAAGGTTTTGATGGAGATCTGGATCATTTTTTACATTTATTCATTTAGCTGACGCTTTTATCCAAAGCGACTTACAATTGCTATACATGTCAGAGGTCGCACAACTCTGCAGCAACTAGGGGTTAAGTGTCTTGCTCAGGAACACAATGGTGGACGTCTCACAGTGGGAATAAAACCCA